TCCTTGTACTTCTGATTTTGAACGTCTTCGGCCGTGAATAAGAAAGGATTGTTCAGCTTAGCTGCCGGTGAATAAAACGTACTGCTGCTGCTGCTGGTGCTGCATACAGGCGCATCGTCGTCTTTGAACACATCCCGCATAATTTGATAGCGGAACGACCGCGCGTAGGCGTTTCTCAACCTCTTCTTTACTTTCGTCAGCGGATCTGCAATCGTACAAAAATTAGGATCATAGAATTGCGAGAGGGGGGTTCCAGCAGTACCTTCGCCTGGGAACTTGAAATTGTTCTCCTCGAAATTCTCTCTGCTGATCGATTGACATAGTTCCTGGTATCTCTTCATCGCTGTATCGTAATACTCTCTGGAATCAATCCTGTGATTTGAAGATTTCGATAGGTCGGTAGCTCTCGGCTCTTCGGGCATCTTGCATTTGTTTCCTCTACAGATATTTATGTATCGTTGATTATATATTTTTATGTTTATTCTTCAATCATCGTAGATTCCCGATCAGATTTGAAGAACTTCATTTTTACCTGAGACCAGGGATGCCAGAATGTAGGATTTCTCCTCTTCCCGAGCTCTCCCCACTACCCCCACTACTGTATGCTGTTGTATGCTCAATGTACTCTCCCCACTCAGATATGACATTATCAGACATTTCCCCAATGATCATGGGTAACGTAAGTGGGGACAAAATAAAGTAGTCGGGAAGAGGAGAAATCCTACATTCTGGCATCCCTTCCTGAGACTCACCCATCCATTCTACCTAGAAAAGGACTTGTAGACTCATCACTGGAATATGGAATGAGGATATTTTTAGGATTAGGCTCCTTTTCGTTAGTATTCCCCACTACGATACTTCTGGAAATAAAGCAAACTTTTGGATCACGGCCAACTATTTCTCCGGTTCTACTTACTCTGATTTCGAGTCATAGCCATTCAGGAGTTTGCACATGTCCCCTTCTAAACGTGCGTTACCCGTGTCACCCATGGCTGGACTCGTTTGAGCTAACAATCAATTTTGATTAAATTCAGTCTCTTTTACATATAATTCAGACTCTTTTACAAATATTGAAATATAATTGCTTACACTTTCGTATCGCTTTTCCTAACGCGCCATTTCTGTATATCCCAGTTAACTGGAATAAAAATACAGTAATTAAAATTCATTTCATGTTTCCCTCTTTCTCTACTCTATAGCGATCTTTAATAATAATTACAGGTTTCGGAAGAATCCTGGTGGCCAAGTTCTTCATACTTTGCGGCTTCTTCGACTTCCTATCGATCTTCGTTTGCTTCTCCTGGAAGACGGATATTTCAAAAATAATTAGGACCAAGCATGGAAACGAAGGTAAAAAAAGATTGTTTATTATACATATTCTTTTCGAAGATCGTCGAAGCCTTCTACAAGCTTTACGAAATTACTCTGCTGCCGTTTTTTCTGAAAAATTCACACGCACTCGGAAATAAAAATCGTTCAAACTCTCTTCACATGCTCGCATTTAAAATAAACGGGAGGGTACAGTGTTAATATTATTAGTGTGTTTCGCTATTTCATTCGATTCATCGACAGACGCGACAATGTGCGTATAGACAATTCATTCAAACATTAAGAACAAGATTATATATGCTCTACATCTTACAAATAGAGATATTAAATTAATACTATATTAATTGATAAAATATTTAATGGCACGTGCCAATTAACCTAACAAACGTACAACAAATACATGCACAGATTGAAAATAATGTCACACACTTCTACATAGATTTGTGGACGAAAGTATCGGATATAAATTGGAATGGAAGGATAAATTTTAGATATGACTATTAAATTATAATGATTCCGCACCTTTTTCGGTTTTGATAGCCTCTGACGTATATCTATCAAATCCCTTTTACGTTTTCTCTTTTTCCTACGAACTTTCCGCTCCTCGCGTACTGTTTTTCTCCGTTCGTCGACGGAGGTATCACTGGCTGAGTCCTGACCCGATCTTTCCATTTTACAAAATAAAAATAAGACGAATATTGTGTGCACGAAAATACGAGTAGTATGAGCGTCTCAATGTTTATTTACCTCGCTTCTTATAGCAAATAATCACGTGTTACAATAAACGCAATAGTCTGTGTTCATCCAAGGGATGATCTTATTTAGAATTAATTAATCGAGCGAATACTAATAATAAGAATCTGACCATTTTTCAAGGTCTTTGCAAACGACTATTAACAAAGGATTGTATTAAATTAGATAACAGTAACAGAGGATTTTATTAAATTGAATATCGATTTTAAATGTAGGAGACGATTAGCTGAACGTATGGTAAAATATAGGAGATTGTCTGGTAACATAGACTGGTTTTGTCCAGTTTTGGCAAGTACAGAGAAAAACTCGGGTAAAAACGTCGTTGTAAACAAACATATAGTGCCCGGTCATTTAGTATCTCAGTCTCGCACGCAGGGTACAGACGTATATTCATTATCCGAGGCAGTACATAAAGCCCACGATTCATGTGAATCGTAAATTAATTAATTAGTTATACATATTGTTGTTATTTTTGCGTCATTAACAAAAGGTTTTACGGTTTAAAAAGTGAAAATGGTGAATAGATTCGTGGAACGGTGTTCAAATGTTGCGTTAGTCAAGTGAGGTGTTATATAAAATACTTTTCACTGTTAATAATTGTTAGTACGTATCCTTAACATCATTTTCATTCATACTTTTATTAAGCAAATGAGAGAATCGATATTTCGTGAGGTTAAATCGCGAGTAACTGAATTTTACTCTTTTATTAAACTCTCAACGAGCCACGAGTAGGACGCCATATTTATTCCGTTCGAGTCGCCGAATCCTGCAGTGAACGCGTCTTCCAATTGTTCACAGTTTTTACTGAATTAGTACTCTTTTTGTCCTTTGAATTCTTGATAATATTGTGTTTAGTGCAAGTATTAGAATCTGTGAATCGATCCTGAAATTTGAGATATCGACTCCCTCGCAAGAAATTACTGTTCACTCAGAAGGCTAATGGATCTTCACTTTGCACATCGAAAACTGCAAGGTAGTATTCACATTCTCGTTTCGTACTTACTTATTTCTCAGATTACAGCCTCAGAGATTCTATATTTGTAGATATTTCCTCTGCCGGTTCCAAATTATTGCAGGTTATATCGCACAAAGCACTTTTATGCACACGAGTTCCGCGAGGATTAATGCCGATTCATACATAAGTTCTATCACCGAACCTTAGAGTTACTGTAGATAGAGTAGGGAAGGCATAGGCTCGTGTACAGGTATGACGGTAGATACTGAAAGAAAATAGAAAGCCTCATGGAAAACCTCTTTCTATCTCTTCCTATCATGCGCTAGTAGAAAGCAGGGATCGCATAATTTTTCCTTCGACCGGAAAGTGGGGACGATGCGACCATGGTGGGGTTTGGTACTTGATGGGGGTATGCTAGGCATGGTCAGCGAAGGCGTATGAGGGGAATAGTAGTGGGACTCGAAAGACGGGCGGAAAAGAGGGGAAGTGAGCCGTGAGGGAAAAATTATGCGCACCCTGGACACTAATATTTATTTGTAACGTAAAGTTTATCTGTTCGGATAAATACAGTCTGACCATTGACTACAGCATTACAAACGAATGCTCTACCCTGTGCCCTCTAGGTACTAGACTATAGAATCATTTGCAGGATGATTAGGTATTGTTTTATACATCTTATATAAATATTCTTGTAATGAGAAGTTAAAGATTTGTTAAATAGGGTAAGATGCATGGAATGAACTTCTTGAGACAGCTTAAAATATTGTCTCAACGAAGTTTCCGTAGTGTAGTGGTTATCACGTGTGCTTCACACGCACAAGGTCCCCGGTTCGATCCCGGGCGGAAACAGTTTCTTTTTACATTTTGCGGTTTGTTTTAATACTGATACTTATATATTTTAATCTTGCATTTGAATCTATATCGAGAAACTGACCCTTAAGGAGGTTCTTCCGCTTACAGGCAGACATGGGCAAAAGTGGTTCTCGAGAGCCATGGTGGCTATGGTGGGAATGCAATGCTTAACGCTATGTAACGTACAGACGCGTATCTACATTTACAAATAGTAGGGAGAGCGATTAGTATGGGTAAAAATGATTTGCCCATGCCTGCCGTAACCTTTACAACTGAGAGTACAGGAAAAAGCGTGTAAAAGCAGTTGTAAAGGCTAAGGTACTTAAGAGACCTTAAGAGTGCGTTTATGGCCGGTATTCAGAGTCGTTGTTTATTCTTAAGGTCGTCTTAAGCATTTGCTCAAGTCCCTGTTCCCTGTACAAGACAAGGACTAGAAATATGGGATAGACAGGGATAGCAAATTCTTAAGACAATCTTAAGAATAAGTAACGACTCTGAATCCGGCCTATAAGAACCCATTTTTTATATTGATTTTTCTCGGATACTATATAGGCTTTGTAGGTTTATAGGGATTGTAGATTGATTCAAAATTTTAACAGGATATTCATTACACATTAACCATTGAATTTAAATAGTTTGCAAGATCTTTTTAATTTACACATTTCACGAACCTCCTTAAAATGTAATACCTGTGAAATTAGAGCATGTATCGTGAGAGTTATTGATCAATGAGAGAAGCAGCGTTTCTGCTTTATCTTCTACGAGTATCACTCAATTCTTTTATTACTTTTCTAAGTAACGTTTTATTTATCGTAACGCTCGACGTGGAAAAGCGTCCACAATTTTTCTATCGTTGGTTTTAAAGCTGAATTTGGAAATTCAGCTTGGTTGTTACAACCGTCGATAAGTTCGTGTACAGAATTGAAATCTGTGGCTCTCAGTTAGATGTCGGATGAATTCACTTTGCCAGAGAAGTATCTTTATTTTATACTACGAATCCCATACTTTTTATTCTCATTGTATTTATTTATTAACCAGGTTTTTTCTTATATGATTTAAATAGGCTTTCTATTAGAAAATTGCTTCAAGGCCTATCGATCATTTCTATTTCGTGCTGTGTGACTGTTTGTCGTATATTTTAAGACCGTTTTATCACTCACGCGCGTAATTACGGTGCGGGTTTACGAGGTCTGCGAGCCGATCTTAAATCGGGACTCGAATCGCACCACGAAACGAGCATATTCGATAGGATTACAACATCTACCCTCCCTACAGTTTACACTGTTTGTCCCAGATAAAATTAATCAATTTTCTGAACAGAAAAGTTTGTTAAAATTGTATTAAACATTTTTTAATCATTCGGCTATTGCTTTATTTGTTGTAGATTAGAATACGAGTGCTAAATCGAGCTGGGGAGGAAACTGGAGACTTGCTGTTATTTTCGGTGAGTCAAATACTCTGACAATAAGTTAGCTGAAATTACTACTGGTTTTATCTTTATGGGGAATCGTTAATTGAAATATTGATCAATAGATTATAGATTTTATACATTTATAAAGAGATTGAATGTGCAGAGAATAGAGACAATGCATAAGAATATAAAATGCACTTTCTAATTGAGTCTCATGTTTTATTTTAATAAATAAATGCAGTGTAATAATAAATTGTTGAAGCGTTAATTAGGAACGTAGAAATATTTAAATCGTGATTAGAGAGCATATCGAATGAAGCTCAGGGTCGATTTCCGCGAACAATCACGAAAGTGTTAAACAATGCCCCATAAAGATCAGCTGGAAACGACGAACGATCTCCCATGACGAAATCCCGCGAGCCGCGCAAAACACGTCCACCGTGTTAATTCGTAATTAGCACGCGGGACAAAGCCCGATGCCTATCGCGATGAGGTTGACTAATTGCAAGGCCGATTTTTAACGAGAACACAGCCTAGCCGCGGTATTGTCGCCCGTGGCTGAGAATTTGTTACCGCCGGTATCTGTATATCTAATTAAAGAGAGTCACTCTCCGTGGACCAGAAAATAGTCCTCGGGCTTTGCTAAGAGTCTTGAAGGAGACTTGGCGAAGGACACGGTCTCTAATGAATGAGAACCAGACTTCTATTCGAAACGAAGAACTACGTACTGGGTGGATCAATAAGAATGTGACGGCACAAAGTCCAAATCAATATTTAGTTGGCACAACGTAATAAATAATTAAAAAATACCGAGCTGCTGTACAGGGATCGTAAATAATAAATAGAATACACTTTGTTGTCAAACTTGGAACTTTAATGTTTAAACAAAAATAGGTGAATGAACTTTACATTAGAAATTTACGTTAGAAAACGAAAAAATCGTTGATGTTCATGTCTTGACGATCTAAACCTAAGACGTTCTGTCCTGTCGAGTCTTTCTGGTATAGTAGGGGTACATTTTCGTTCGACTATAGTTTAAGTACCCCTTGGTGGGATAAAATTGACAATGTACGTCGCGCAAGGAAAAACAAATGTCTATTTCCAATATAAAAACTTTCTAATAGTCCAGAGCCGTAAACCACTTAGTCCCCAAATGATAACCGACTCTGGCCCAAACGGACGGTCATAAAACCCTTACTAGCTAAATCCTTAAGGTATCGTAATGTACAGAAAAAACATTCTCAAACAAAGAAAGACTTTCACTC